GTATATGTATATATATATATATATATATATATATATATATATATATGCAAATATGTATATATACATGCACATGTATATACATATATATGTGTATTTACACATATATCAATTAATATTTCTATCAGTCTCGTTGGCTTAATATTTAATACTTATTTCTCTGCCCTAACACCAGTTATCACAGTGCATGTGTGCGTGTGTGTGTGTGTGTGTGCATGCAACAAGCTGTGCCCTGATTTTCACTGCTAGTTATTTCCATGCTGACCATACACCTGGCAGTCGCCTACATTGTGAACGAACAACACAACACCAGCAGAAGTACAGGTGGCAGAAGCGGTACATAAGACTGCCGTCGTAATTTGGGCAGGCTGCGACAAGTCGAGAAGCGCGTGAACGTACATTTTCATAGTTCCTTTTGGGCCGAGGTTGGTGCGCATCACTTCCATGAGGCCCTTCGCACCGCTCACGTTCAGCTCCAACGCCGCCGCATGACGCGCCAGCTCTGCTTTCGGGTTGAGACACAGGATCGACGCCATTCCAATCAGCAAAACCGCTGCAAACATGCGCACATTACGACCACAGTGCGAGCAGACCACGCCAGCCTCCCCCTCCCTCTCCTCCCAATGACGGCCCCGGATCCACTACATTAATCCCCGACCTCGTCAGCAGAGCCACAAGAAAGCGCTGAGAACCGCGTAATAACCCAACATGTTAGAACCGCCTCGCCTAACACCCACATAACCACAGCTTCACGGCCCCGGGCCGCCGAGCGAACAGGATGCAACGGTTATTTCCTGACCTCCTAAAATATGCGCAAGCGTTTTCCGGGACTCGAATTCTGCTCGTCGCTACTGATGGGGAAGTTGCGGAGGCCGTGGTGCACCCCTCGACTTGTGGAGGTGGGTCTGAGTTATACCTTAAATTTCAATTTGAAAGTGAAGCTGAGGTACAGAGGTGAGTGAGGTAAAGGAGGAGGGACAGGGCCACTAATTTAGACTGTAAGGGTGGGGCAGGCGAAAGAAGAGTGGAAAAAAGAGCTGAGATGTTGCTAGGAATTGGAAAAAGGAGTAGGATTTACAATGCTAAGCAAAAAATTAGATGCAAAATGAATAAATGGCAACGCGCACCAGACCAGCCGGTGCGATCATGCGTTTTGTGCAATTCAGCCGATCGAACGATTGCCTGTTAATGATCTTCACTGGTTTGTGCTTTAGTCTATACAAAAATAGTTCAAACACTGGAAAACAGTTAAAAATTTCACGCACCAACGTATGAAAGCTGAATTCGAAACCTTGAAGGATAAACATCTTTCCGTGATTCCCGAGTTAATAGTTTACCCGCCAAAATTTTCACGAAGTCGTAGGTGGTAACCGAGAGCGCGAGAACAATAAATTTGAATGGGCAAGGTTGAGCGTGGACAGGGGATCACTAATCTTAAATTTCAGCCTCCTAGACTCCGTGGTTCCCGAGATATTAACTTACCCGTGAATAACTT